TTTTCTGGAGCCTGGGGAGGACACACAGCTTTCCAGTGGAATTTAAGACCTGTTCTCAACATCCACGTATCTCCCTTTTGGTCCTAAAAGTGAGACGGTAAATGAAAACAGCTGAAATAAACAGGTCTGTTTGGCAGAGATGAGGAGGAGTTTTGGTGGCCAGTGCTACTTTCAGGTTATGCTATGTCATGCAGGCATAATGATCCTCATTCTAAAAGAGCCAAAACATTGCACAATATGGCCATGCTCCACTCAGACATCACCCCCTCCTCAGCTTGCCAGACACTATACCATGCGTTAAAAACACTCTGGAAAAGGAAATAATTTCTCCTTCAAGTTAACAAGAGCAATTGGTAAAAGCATCTTCAATGAGATAACTCAGCAAGTTGCAGAGCACACAATTCCTTGCCAATCTACAAGGAAGATTAACCTGAAGGTCACCTGAAGATAGGGATGAAGTGGGCCACCACGAGGGTCAGGAATTGGACTTCTGCTGCTGCAGCTACACAGATCCATAGCTCAAACTGCCCAGGCTGGATGGCCACAAGTCTGTTTCTCCAAAAAGCAGCCCTAGAGCAACAGGCACAGGAAAGGATTTGCTCCTCCAGTCCTTGCACAGATCCAGTTCTTAAAAACTTGGCTTGAGAAGAAAATCGTGTTCTCAACGTAAAAATAAGAATTATCATTATCAAGCCCTGAGCGTTATAGTTCAAGTCCACAGCTTCTAGCCTATTTTCTGTGGTCATCCCTGAAATGTCAACAGTCTGTTTCTAAAACTGCACCACTTTCTAATCTAACACATTTATTTACATGCCACTTAACTCTTCCCTATACCCGGCCTGTGTTGTACGCTGTCTTCTTACTCTACATTATGTGACGATAAGTGCATTTATGCTTATTTTGGATAACTCAGTATTATTTGCTATGCCACTGTAATTTTCTGGACTGAAAGGTCAAATTCAGTAAAGTTTAGCCATCAGTTCACAGCAAAATGGACAGGATGGGAGGATACTTGAAACGTACTTTGCAATTTTGCAGCAGCTAATAACCTGGCATACAGATAAAGGCATAAATTGCTATTGTTTCACTGACTTCAGTAGTCTATGACATTTCCTCTAGTTGCAAGTCTGTCTCATATAGTAGATTTGTAAAAAATGATTTGTCTCAACCTGTTAATTTGTAAAACAGTATCTCCAGCTGGAGAAAAAACTTTCAAAGCAGGATCACCTCCGACGATAGAAGAAAACACATGAGCGTATTCTGAAATATGAAATAATTCCCCAACTGCACATACTTCCACCCCAAGAGCTTATAGCAATTTTTATATGAATTCTCTCATCACATAAATAAATCAATGCCAATTCTAACAATCAACAGCAATAGCACAAAAATAGCTAAATTAGTGAACAAACAGACTGCAAACTGAAATGCAGGTGGGAGGAAAGAGAGTCTTCTGTTCTTATGTTCTTGTACTTAAAACATCCTGCCTCCTTCTTTGAACACTTCCTCTCCTCTAACAGGCAATTTCTAGCAAAATTCATCTGTGGAAGTGCTGGCAGAAGCAGAGTGTGGACCGGATGCACAGAGCCACAGGTTTTATCCCCACATCTTCCAATTCCACTCGGATGACACAATATTGAAAGCTGTCCACAACACAGTTACACCACTGCTGTCATCAATAAGGCTAGAGATTGAATGACGGTCTCATTTTTGGCAGCATGGACCAACCTCAGAAACTGAGGCTGATTTGAACTGGAAACGGAAAAATGCATTTCTTGAATATACTTCCCACATACGTTACAAATGTGCATCTAACAAAGTCCTGGGATGAAATCCTTGTGCCAGAGGCAAAATTCTCATTGCCTTCACTAATTTTGCAGTCCTGAGTTACAAAAGTAAGCAAAAAATAATTTAAAAATCTTTTGCTTGTTAAATGAAACTCTTCAGCCTTTCAGTGTGCTTTCAACTGTAATACAGGCAGCTGTCATATTCAAAAACCTTCTATTTTCTGCATTGTAAGAAAAATACAGTTCAACTGCCTACGAAAGATAAACCATGGAACTGAAAAATTTAGTGTGTCCTCTGATCTTATGGCTCTCTCCAAATTCCAGGACGCAGCAATATGTCCTAAATTCCACTCCTGGGAACACACCCCAGCTGCTTCCCCGCTGCTGGGACAATACTGGAGCATATTCCCTCACCCTACAAGGAGAGGAGCTGGGGCGCACACCTATCTCTCAGCTTAGAAACAGCTACAGCCACAAAAGGAAACTGATGGATACACATCATTAGGGAGAGATCATGCCCTAAACCACCCTTTCATGTCATATGCTGTAATTAAGATGAACCACATTGACCTGGGAAGAAATGGAGGGCCTCCAGATACTTTAATGAGAATCCAAATTCCCTAAGGCAAGAAAGAATTCAGGAGAGATAATAGAGAGTAGTACTGTGCACACTAATTGCACAAGTAGATAAGTTCTCACATACGTGACTTGGCACTTTTGAAGGCACTGCAGTACATGCTCTCTTTTGAATATCTGAAATTGCTTTCAATATACTGATTTACACAATGCTATACATTGCTGGCTTTTTTAAATTAAGGAGACCTGAATCCTTAGTTTAAACACATTACTATCATCTGAGGCACTATCTATCAACGGGTAAAATGTCTTTTGGATGTTTTTATCCATCCAATTTCTCTGAAAGCAATATACACCTAGCGTTTACTCAGCTCACAACAGTAAAACATCAGCTCTAAATTAGAAAATTACAGTCTCTCCGTCAAAGAAGATACTTTTTCAGACATATGGCATTTGGTCCTGTGAGAATAGGTGTGATGTTGCCAGTCATGCCATCTGACTTACATCAAGCCTCAAGCTGAATGGAGCCAAATTAAGATCATGAATATAAAGTTTTCTTTCATCGTGTTTGTTTAGCTGTGCAGTCACCTCACCATCAACTGTCTGTGGGTTGTCTGCAAACACAGAATAAATTAAGAACTTGAATCTATCTATCTGCTCCTCTCCACTCTTAAGTCTTTACACACACACACACACACACACACACACACAAATCTCTGAATTAAAATGACAGCAATTTATCTTGTGAAGCCTCCCGGTTTGAGTTCCAGAATTTAGACATATTATACCTTCAGCTCAGTCATGGTTTTGCTTTAAGTATTTACTGCAATGTCTGATAGTACAAAAGCCGTAAGTTTCAACATGCCAGGCACTGCAAACACACATCATTGCAAAGTGTTTAAACAGACACAGAAGATATGATAAGAGGATGGACATATTCTCCTAACTGTAAAGGGTTCAGAAGGATTAAAGGCTTAAGCCAATATCCACTAATAAAAATAGCAATATGGTGCCAATGGCTATTATTTAACAGTGTTTTTTAGAAAAGCAAAACTTCATGACGAGGAGCACTATTTTTTAAAGAACATCCTATCAACAATATTTATAACTGATTTTACAGAAACAGTCCCACTGAATACTGGACAGTAGTTACTAAACGCACTGACAAGCAACCTGGCAAGTTATCAGTTTGGGATCACTGGACTCTGCTTATCTACATTTCCTTGCTATCTTTAAAGGATTTGGGATTCTGCTCTTCCAAAATTAAAAGCACAGTTTATTTCTTGAAGTTTAGGTAGGTGCTATGTTTCAATAGCGTAGGAAATGGCTCCAGAATACATAGCATAAAAAAGGGTTTCAAGAACACCGTACTAAACACAATCACCTGAACCAATGGATCTGCTTTATTCATACTCAGTAAGTCTTCTTTTTTGTTTTGTTTTTACAATTCTGACAAAGATGCTACAGTCCAAAGGAGTTACCAAATTACAGTCCAAAGAAGTTATCAAAAGCATAAAACAAAAATCACCAAAAGTATTACAAAGCCAGGGGGGTTCCTGGCTTCCTCTGACACAGCCCACTTGCTTACTCACCCTGTCTCCTCAATGTCTAGAGAGTAGTTCTCAACCTTCTCCTCTGAACAGTGTGCTCATCTCCTTCCACCCGGCTCGCCTGTCATAACGAATGTAATTAGCTTCATTGTCTCCCTGAACCGTATAGCCTGGTCGATTTCCCACAAGACTGAGAAGAAAATGGCTGGTGTCTCTCACGGACAGGCACAAACAGAAACAAAAGACAAAGTAAGACCCTTCCTTATGCAGACTTTGCAGATCACAGCTTGCTCCTCGCACAGTATTTTTCTCCAAGGAACAGGCCACCTTGGCAGGGAGCATCTTGCTCGTAAATCAACATAAGACAAGAATGTGAACATTGCTGGTAAAGCCCATTCTTCTTACCCCAGAGACATATAACTCCCTAGAACAAATGCTGTATGCTTCAGACAAGCATCTAGCAGCTACCTGCTACCCTGAATCCATCGCAGTAGCTTTCCAGTGCCCTCTTCTCCAAACTCACTCTTGTTATCAGTAGTAGACACCTCAGGGAATTAGACATCTATGGGATGAATGTAAAGTCAGCAGGTCTGAACACCTTTCCTTAGTTCTTATTTTCAAAAGCAATTTATACACACAACAGCTTATGAAGCATTTTGGATCCCAAGAGCTCCTATTAGATTTAGAGAAATTGCTGAAAATTCAATTCTAAGTTTCACTGCAAATTAAGGGTCTCAAAAGTCTGCACACTCTACATAATCTTAAAAAATGGGCTTTGGGTTCCCGAGTCACTTAGACAATTTTCAAAATTTTACCCATGACCATAGTTCATTCCCCTAAACGTTAAGAAGCAGAAACCACTCCCAAAACCAAGTCTGGGAAACAAATTTGCAGTCACTCAGTGTAGCTCAATACTTAGCCTGTTGAGTCACCATAATGACCACAGAACGGATGGATTATATGATTTTAATAGGTCAGACACCACTGTTTTTTCCTTTAAAATCATACATCCTAAAACGACTAAGAAGTAGCTTGCGATAAGTCAGACACATGTACCCACACTCTGTTTATTTTGAAAAGTAATCACCTCTTCTCCAGGTGAATGCTGTTATATTTGCACCTGACCATATACTGCTTCTGTTCAGTCGAGGACCTGGTGACAAAGGACACAGAAAAAGCTGTGGTACTGAATGCCTTCTTCATTTCCATCTTTACTGGGACAACTGGCCCTCAAGAATCCCAAGCCCCTGAGAGCAAAGGGGAAGGCTGGAGCAAGGAAGACAGCCTCGGTGGAGGAGGATGAAGTTAGGGAATACTTAAATAAACTGGACATAAACAAGTCCGTGGGGCCTGATGGGAGGCACCCACAAGCACCGAGGGAGCTGGCCGATATCGCTGTGAGGCCGTTCTCAATTCTCTTTGAAAGGTCACGGTGATCGGGAGAGGTGCCTGAGGACTAGAAGAAAGCCAATGTCAGCCCCATCTTCAAGAAGGGCAAGAAAGAGGATCCGGGGGACTACAGGCCAGTCAGCCTCACCTCCATCTCTGGGAAGGTGAAGGAGCAACTCGTCCTGACTACCGTTTCCAGATACATGAAGGAGCGGAAGGTCACTGGGAGCAGTCAGCATGGATTTATTAAGGGGAAATCACGCCTAGTCCACCTGACAGCCTTCAGCCTGATGAGATGACTGCCTCGATGGACGAGGGCAGAGCAGTGGATATTGTTTACCTTGACTTTAGGAAGGCTTTTGACAACCATCTCCCATAACATCCTCCCAGACAAGCTGACAAAGTATGGACCAGATAAGTGGTCAGTGAGGTGGACTGAAAACTGGCTGAGTTGCTGGGCTCACAAGGTTGTGATCAGTGGCATAGTCCAGGTGGAGGCCAGACACTGGTGCTGTCTCTCAGGAGTCGATACTAGGGCCAGTATTGTTCAATATCTTAATTAATGACCTGGATGATGGGAGCGAATGAACCCTCAGCAAGTTCGCTGATGACACCAAACTGGGAGAAGAGGCTGGTACACCAGATGGTTGTGCTGCTATTCAGATGAACCTTGGAAGGCTGCAGAAACGGGCAGAGAGGAACCACATGAAGTTCAACAAAGGGAAGCACAAAGTCCTGCACCTGGGCAGGAATAACTCTATGCACCAGTACCAGCTGGAGACTAATAAGCTTAAGAGCAGCTTTGCCGAGAAGGACCTAGGGTCTTGGCGGACAACAGGTTGAACATGGCCCATCAACGTGCCCCTGTGGAAAAGAAGGCCAATCGTATCATAGGCTGCATTAGGAAGACTGCTGCCAGCAGGCTGAGGGAGGGGATCCTTCCCCTCTCCTCAGCTCTGATGAGGCCATATCTGGACTCTTGGGTCCAGGTCTGGGCTCCCAATACATCACAAGATATGGACCTTCTGGAGCAAGTCCAACAAAGGGCATCTCATGTGAGGAGAGGCTGAGAGAGCTGTGTCTGTTCAGCCTGAAGAAAACAAGGCTCAGGAGGATCTTATTAATGTGTATAAATATCTGATGGGAGGGTCTCAAGAGAATGGGGCCAGACTCTTAGTGGTGCGCAGAGATGGAACAAGAGGCACCGGGCATAAACTGAAACACTGGAAGGTTCATTTGAACGTAGGAAAACACTCTTCTTACTGTGGGGTGACTGAGCACTAGACCGGGTTGCCTAGAGAAGTTGTAGAGTCTCCATTCTTGAAGATACTCAAAAACTGACTGGACATGGCCCTGGGCAATCTGTTCTAGGTGACCGTGCCTGAGCAGGGGAGTTGGACCCAGTCATTTCCAGAGGTCCCTTCCAGCCCCAACTATTCTGTGATTCTTTGAAGACAGGGATTGACAGGTATTTCGACAACCTCCAGGAATAACAGATAAATTGCTCTAAACACAGCTTTGGCCCTCCTCTTCATAATTGTGCCTATGCCTCTCTGAAACTAAGGAAATTATGAATATGCAGTTCTGCCTTTAAATAAACATTGATGTGATATCCCCAGTTGTTGCTGATTTTTTTTCTACTCTGTACTTATGGCTGTTGAGACAATGGACCTAGCAGCCTCAATTACATCAGAATCCCAAAGAGTGCTTTGGCACACGGTACAATACAGACACATCACCCACGGAGGTTACTTTAAAATACACTCATAGAAGAGAGAAATTAACCTTCTTGCAAGGAAATTTTCTTCTTTTCTTTTCTTCTTCTTTTCTAATTTTGCAGACCACATGGAAAATTTTTTCTCCTCGCCCTCACATTTTTTTTAGGACAAACTGTTAAAACCAGTGTGCCTCCTCTGAAAGTCATTCTGTGAAAAATACGGACGCTAAGGGTAGACTACGGCATGTTAACATCCCAGCCCTCAAAGAAGCGTGACGTGTACTGTTTTATTCTGCTACCAATTGCATGCCTTCCTTCCTTCATAGCTGAGCACTAATGCCTATCAAGTGGCTTCAGCACTGCCAGGAAGTACATTTCTTGCTCTGCTTCTCTGAGAAAAGGAAAAGTGGTGCAGGACACATGCAAAATTTCTAGAAGAATGAAACTGGCCACAATGAGGTCAATGGCACTTTTAGTTTTGACTTTTGTAGGGCCAGGATGTCCCATCAGTCTGCAGTGATGTCATCTTCAAATTTGAATCTATAGCAAGACATTACCTTAAAAATGAAACAAACATTTCACTCCCAAACAGTACAACTGCGATGATGATACTTGCCTGTTTTGTGAAGTGTTTTGCTGAACAAAGAGTTGAATAGGAGCAAGAAATTATTAATATACAGAGGACATATGAGGAAGTAATTCCATGCAGAAGGCAGTAAAGTATTAAAAAAAAAAAAAAAACTTCCTATGTTTAAGAGGTAATGTGACACAAAGTCTAACTTTGCCTTAAGAACTTTAGGGAATCATTTCAAGTGTTCTCATTTCATGTCGTGTAATAACCTGACTGGCATGACCTCTTCTGAACAGAAAATGGCAAAATCTAATCAGTAGAAATCTTTATACTTCTCTTTTTTCCTGGTATCAGCGGAGTCCTACACAAAAACAAAAGAGAAGGCTGTCCCTTTCCTCCGTGTCTATCCCCTAAATTTGGATCTTAGAGGGGAAAGAAGCAGAGAGGCAAGGCAGACTGGACAAAGCGGAAGATGAATACAAAGATGCACAGTGTGGCTACGACTGGAGCTGTAAAAGAAGCAAAAAAGAAAGCTTAGTACTGAATACAACTGGAATAGGTTCTCTTCTAAAAATCCCAACCTGAGATCACAATTGAGAGTTTTTATGTTCTAAGCAGGAGTACAAGCAGGCTACAGTGCTACGCATAGAAACACAAAGAGAACAAGCTGGCTGAAACAACGGTCAATGACTGCCCTAACAGACCTGCTTTACTCTGATCTACAACAAGCAAGGTGCGGGTTGTGATGGTCAATCACAGCGTTACAGCTGGCAGGATGGGGAGGGGACAGCTTTTACTAACACAGTAACTGGATCTCGGGTGACTGCAATCATCAATGATTAAAGAAGTGATATTAATGAAGCAGTGATGGTCTACTCACTGCACGGTTACTTTTCAGGAGTTTACTTAAAACACGAGGTTGATGTAGATGTGAAAATGCCACACAGCAAGTTATATGAATTTGAAATATATACCTACTATGAAAACTGAAAGTTTTAGATTTCCCTGTGGTTATGAGCCTGGAAGCCATTCCATACAGGCAGATCTTTGTGTCCCTGATTAACCTCAGTCAACTAACTTAAACAGGGCTGAGTATGATTAAGGTCCATATTTGTAAGATTCAGAAAATGCTTTGTATAAAAATTTAGTCTTTGGCCAACCCCGGTTGCTGCTAAGTTACATGTGATAGGAGCAAAATGTGTCTGTTCCTGAGAATTTATATCAAAATTTCCTTGGAGACCAGGATAGCACTATTTTTCTTGTTGCTTTTGTAGTCACGGCCTCGGCGTAATTATCCTTTTCTTGCCAATATCAAAGTGGAGTGGGAGAGAGACTTTTTTTTCAAAGGCAGGATAAATCCCCTAGCCTCTAACTTCTGAAGGTTTCAGTTTATGACTCACTATGCCCGAAGTGAAATGAAGTTGTGATCACAACTTCAGACCTGATCCAACACACATTGAAATCAATGGGAGTCTTTCCGTTGACTTCAATGGAAGCTGGGTCACACCCTTAGCAGACACTAGCTGTGCTCATAACAAAACCATCCTCTGGTTTTGGATGGCAGAAAATATGGTCAGTCTGCGAACAGCAGGGATCCCAAAGGTCAGAGATTGTCTACCACAAAAAAACTCATACAGGCAAAGCTAATACAGAGACGCTTCAGCTGCACCTGTCTGCACTGTGCCTCTTTCTAGCACTATCAGCCCAGACGAAACTGAGTCCAGAGCAAATATTTATCAAAAATGTAAAAAGAACAGGTCTTGGCAAAAGTCAAAATCTGTCCCAGAGTGAAAAATGTAAAATAATTACTCAATCTTAAAATAGAGTCTTCAAAAAAAATAGATAGAAAGAAGCTTAACGAAATGACCTCAGTACAACTTAGCTGTTAGAAAAGACTTAGACTTTCTGGTGCAGTTTTTGCTCTTGTAATAATGACACTGAAATGTAAGACTTCTAAGAGAAGGGAAGTATTAGCATAGTCAGTGTCAGACCTGTACGTTAGCAGCCCATTAACAAACAACTGTACACTGCCTTTAACATTCTTCATATGGTTCCTATCTAAAATACCTATACAGAACAACTCACTGTGAGGGAACAGCAACCTTTAAAAGAAGACACAGGTAAGACTATTTTGACAACCAGTTTGAGAAAGAACTGAAGAAGAACATATACTGGAAAGACAAAAACAATGACTATGGGATTCTGGTAAGAAATCGAGTAGTGGCAGGAGAAAAAAAAAGCAAAGGGCAAAAAGGAATATTGATCTTTCAATGGCAGAGAGCATTTGGTTTGGATGATTGTATTTGCAGGATGGTCTTCCTCTTGGTTTACTCAGCCCCCAGCACTGAAGCACTTCTACTTGCACAATTTTGGGGTGGGAGAGGTGAAGGTGCCAGGAGACTAGCTGCCCTCACTCTGGCTGGCATGTGTTGATGGGAGAGCTATATATGCTCCCTCCAAATGTTTCAGTCAGGAAGGCCTCACCGGAGTAATCCTTCTTTCCGACAAGCCTGTCAGAGCCTGAGCTTTGCAGGCTGAGAAAAAAAGAGGCCCCTTTTCAGTTAGCTTTTTTTCTATGCTTACTTTTCACCAAATCAAGACGTGCCCAGTGAAGCAGTGATTTTGCTGGGTTAGTTACTGACTCAGCAGAAACACAGCCTATAAATCAAGAGCAGTGCTGTCTTGCACGGGCCGGGCAGCCTCTGTCGTGACTGAACGCACCGCATTACAGGTGAGGGAGGCTGGCGATACCGATACCCAGCACTGACTTAGCACTTGCAGGAACGGAGAACAGCAGCTTGTAAAATAGGAATCGGGCTTGTTGGCAAATCACTGGGCTAGGCGAGAAGCCCTGCTGTGACACTTGAACGCGATCTCTTCAAGTTACCCTTCCCATGTGGTATTATATTTTTGGACGCCGTTTCCATCCCATTTTAGAAAGACACTCGGCTGGGGGACGGGCGCATGGCTGAAGGTGAAAGGTCCACAGCGCTAAATAAAAACAAAAACCTCTCCCTCTTCCCTGAGCCACCTCCTCACCCAGCGCCCCCGGCCGCGCCCCC